GTGATCCATCACCCCCACAACCCACGTACAGTGATCCATCACCCCCACAACTCCCGTACAGTGATCCATCACCCCCACAACCCCCGTACAGTGATCCATCACCCCCACAACCCCCGTACAGTGATCCATCACCCCCACAACCCTCGTACAGTGATCCATCACCCTCACAACCCCCCGTACAGTGATCCATCACCCCCACAACCCACGTACAGTGATCCATCATCCCCACAACCCACGTACAGTGATCCATCACCCCCACAACCCCCCGTACAGTGATCCATCACCCTCACAACCCACATACAGTGATCCATCACCCCCACAACACCCGTACAGTGATCCATCACCCCCACAACCCACGTACAGTGATCCATCATCCCCACAACCCACGTACAGTGATCCATCACCCCCACAACCCCCCGTACAGTGATCCATCACCCTCACAACCCACATACAGTGATCCATCACCCCCACAATCCCCGTACAGTGATCCATCACCCCCACAACCCCCGTACAGTGATCCATCACCCCCACAACCCACGTACAGAGATCCATCACCCCCCACAACCCCCCGTACAGTGATCCATCACCCCCACAACCCCCGTACAGTGATCCAACACCCCCACAACCCACGTACAGTGATCCATCACCCCCACAACCCCCGGACAGTGATCCAACACCCCCACAACCCCCGTACAGTGATCCATCACCCCCACAACCCCCGTACAGTGATCCAGCACCCCCACAACCCACGTACAGTGATCCAACACACATACAACCCCCCGTACAGTGATCCAACACCCCCACAACCCACGTACAGTGATCCACCACGCCCACAACCCACGTACAGTGATCCATTACCCCCACAACCCACGTACAGTGATCCAACACCCACACAACCCACGTACAGTGATCCATCAACCCCACAACCCCCGTACAGTGATCCATCACCCCCACAACCCCCCGTACAGTGATCCAACACCCCTACAACCCACGTACAGTGATCCAACACCCACACAACCCCCGTACAGTGATCCAACACCCCTGCAACCCCCGTACAGTGATCCATCACCGCACAACCCACGTACAGTGATCCAACACTCCCACAACCCCCGTACAGTGATCCATCACCCCCACAACCCAAGTACAGTGATCCAACACCCCCACAACCCCCGTACAGTGATCCATCACTTCCCGCAACTCCCGTACAGTGATCCATCACCACCACAACCCCGTACAGTGATCCATCACCCCCACAACCCCCCGTACAGTGATCCATCACCCCCACAACCCCCGTACAGTGATCCAACACCCCCACCACCCCCCGTACAGTGATCCATCACCCCCACACCCCACGTATTGTGATCCAACACCCCCACAACCCCCGTACAGTGATCCATCACCCCCACAACCCCCGTGCAGTGATCCAACACCCCCCACAACCCACGTACAATGATTCAACACCCCCACAACCCCCCGTACAGTGATCCATCACCCTCACAGACCCCGTACAGTGATCCATCACCCCCACAATCCCCCGTACAGTGATCCATCACCGCCACAACCCCCCGTACAGTGATCCATCACCCTCACAACCCCCGTACAGTGATCCATCACCCCCACAACCCCCCGTACAGTGATCCACCACCCCCACAACCCCCCCATACAGTGATCCAACACCCCCACAACCCCCCGTACAGTGATCCATCACCCCCACAACCCACGTATTGTGATCCAACACCCCCACAACCACCGTACAGTGATCCATCACCCCCACAACCCCCGTACAGTGATCCATCACCCCCACAACCCACGTACAGTGATCCAACACCCCCACAACCCCCGTACAGTGATCCATCACCCCCACAACCCCCGTACAGTGATTCAACACCCCCACAACCCCCGTACAGTGATCCATCACCCCCACAACCCCCGTGCAGTGATCCAACACCCCCCACAACCCACGTACAGTGATCCAACACCCCCCACAACCCACGTACAGTGATCCAACACCCCCACAACCCACGTACAGTGATCCAACACCCCCACAACCCACGTACAATGATCCAACACCCCCACAACCCCCCGTACAGTGATCCATCACCCTCACAGACCCCGTACAGTGATCCATCACCCCCACAACCCCCCGTACAGTGATCCATCACCGCCACAACCCCCCGTACAGTGATCCATCACCCTCACAACCCCCGTACAGTGATCCATCACCCCCACAACCCCCCGTACAGTGATCCACCACCCCCACAACCCCCCATACAGTGATCCAACACCCCCACAACCCCCCGTACAGTGATCCATCACCCCCACAACCCACGTATTGTGATCCAACACCCCCACAACCCCCGTACAGTGATCCATCACCCCCACAACCCCCGTACAGTGATTCAACACCCCCACAACCCCCGTACAGTGATCCATCACCCCCACAACCCCCGTGCAGTGATCCAACACCCCCCACAACCCACGTACAGTGATCCAACACCCCCCACAACCCCCGTACAGTGATCCAACACACTTCCACCTCCAGGAGGTGGAAGTGGACGACTGGACGTTCCAGGAGGTGGACGTGGACGACTGGACGTTCCAGGAGGTGGACGTGGACGACTGGACGTTCCAGGAGGTGGACTTGGACGACTGGACGTTCCAGGAGGTGGACGTGGACGACTGGACGTTCCAGGTGGACGTGGACGACTGGACGTTCCAGGAGGTGGACGTGGACGACTGGACGTTCCAGGAGGTGGACGTGGACGACTGGACGATCCAGGAGGTGGACGTGGACGACTGGACGTTCCAGGAGGTGGACGTGGACGACTGGACGTTCCAGGAGGTGGACGTGGACGACTGGACGTTCCAGGAGGTGGACGTGGACGACTGGACGTTCCAGGAGGTGGACGTGGACGACTGGACGTTCCAGGAGGTGGACGTGGACGACTGGACGTTCCAGGTGGACGTGGACGACTGGACGTTCCAGGAGGTGGACGTGGACGACTGGACGTTCCAGGAGGTGGACGTGGACGACTGGACGTTCCAGGAGGTGGACGTGGACGACTGGACGTTCCAGGAGGTGGACGTGGACGACTGGACGTTCCAGGAGGTGGACGTGGACGACTGGACGTTCCAGGAGGTGAACGTGGACGACTGGACGTTCCAGGAGGTGGACGTGGACGACTGGACGTTCCAATTATTCCTCCTGAACGTTAAAAATCAGCGCCAGAGTTAAACAAATGCTTTTCTTGGAATATTAAAAGAAAAATAATATAATTTCATCCATTTCTGGCCTTGGGAAGTTGGAGAGGAAGATGAGAATTAATATGACCAGTTCTCATCATAGCAAGTTAAAGAGGAGGGATGGGTCCTGTAAGTCCTCCTGGAAAAGAGGAGGGATGGGTCCAGCGAGTCCTCCTGCAAAAGAGGAGGGGGATGGGTCCAGCAAGTCCTCCTGGAAAAGAGGAGGGATGGGTCCTGTAAGTCCTCCTGGAAAAGAGGAAGGATGGGTCCAGCAAGTCCTCCTGCAAAAGAGGAGGGGGGATGGGTCCAGCAAGTCCTCCTGGAAAAGAGGAGGGATGGGTCCTGTAAGTCCTCCTGGAAAAGAGGAGGGATGGGTCCAGCAAGTCCTCCTGCAAAAGAGGAGGGGGGATGGGTCCAGCAAGTCCTCCTGGAAAAGAGGAGGGATGGGTCCAGCAAGTCCTCCTGGAAAAGAGGAGGGATGGGTCCAGCAAGTCCTCCTGCAAAAGAGGAGGGGGGATGGGTCCAGCAAGTCCTCCTGCAAAAGAGGAGGGTTGGGTCCTGCAAGTCCTCCTGGAAAAGAGGAGGGATGGGTCCAGCAAGTCCTCCTGGAAAAGAGGAGGGGTGGGTCCAGCAAGTCCTCCTGGAAAAGAGGAGGGTTGGGTCCTGCAAGTCCTCCTGGAAAAGAGGAGGGTTGGGTCCTGCAAGTCCTCCTGGAAAAGAGGAGGGGTGGGTCCAACAAGTCCTCCTGGAAAAGAGGAGGGATGGGTCCAGCAAGTCCTCCTGGAAAAGAGGAGGGTTGGGTCCTGCAAGTCCTCCTGGAAAAGAGGAGGTATGGGTCCAGCAAGTCCTCCTGGAAAAGAGAGGGATGAGTCCCGCAAGTCCTCCTGGAAAAGAGGAGGGGTGGGTCCAGCAAGTCCTCCTGGAAAAGAGGAGGGATGAGTCCAGCAAGTCCTCCTGGAAAAGAGGAGGGGTGGGTCCAGCAAGTTCTCTTGGAAAAGAGGAGGGGTGGGTCCAGCAAGTCCTTCTGGAAAAGAGGAGGGATGAGTCCAGCAAGTCCTCCTGGAAAAGAGGAGGGATGGGTCCAGCAAGTCCTCCTGGAAAAGAGGAGGGATGGGTCCAGCAAGTCCTCCTGCAAAAGAGGAGGAGGGATGGGTCCAGCACAACCCGTCCTCTTAAAATTAACGTCACTTTTGGCTGGTATGCGCGATACGGCTAAATTTGGACGTAATTTGAAATGAAATCGACTCACAAAAGTGACGTTCTGTTCCGTTTTCTGTTTGAGTCGTCCGGCGTACGCGCAGAGGTTATAAAAGGACACTTTAAATTAATGTTTTTCATAACGTTTTGAAACTTTATGAGAATTTCCTGCCCACCTAACCTACCAGAGGACCCTTAACTTACTGTTGGGAAAAAAAATCCCAAATTTATTTTCATTTTTTTTTCATTTTCAAATTACGTCCAAATTCGGCCATACGGGCAAACGGCCAAAAGCGACGTTCTTTTTAAGAGGACAGGTTGTCCAGCAAGTCCTCCTGGAAAACAGGAGGGATGGGTCCAGCAAGTCCTTCTGGAAAAGAGGAGGGATGGGTCCAGCAAGTCCTCCTGGAAAAGAGGAGGAGGGATGGGTCCAGCAAGTCCTCCTGAAAAAGAGGAGGGATGGGTCCAGCAAGTCCTCCTGGAAAAGAGGAGGAGGGGTCCAGCAAGTCCTCCTGGGGAGGAGGGATGGGTCCAGCAAGTCCTCCTGGAAAAGAGGAGGGATGGGTCCAGCAAGTCCTCCTGGAAAAGAGGAGGGATGGGTCCAGCAAGTCCTCCTGGAAAAGAGGAGGGATGGGTCCAGCAAGTCCTCCTGGAAAAGAGGAGGGATGGGTCCAGCAAGTCCTCCTGGAAAAGAGGAGGGATGGGTCCAGCAAGTCCTCCTGGAAAAGAGGAGGGATGGGTCCAGCAAGTCCTCCTGCAAAAGAGGAGGGGGGATGGGTCCAGCAAGTCCTCCTGGAAAAGAGGAGGGGGGATGGGTCCAGGAAGTCCTCCTGGAAAAGAGGAGGGATGGGTCCAGCAAGTCCTCCTGGAAAAGAGGAGGGATGGGTCCAGCAAGTCCTCCTGGAAAAGAGGAGGGGGATGGGTCCAGCAAGTCCTCCTGGAAAAGAGGAGGGGTGGGTCCAGCAAGTCCTCCTGGAAAAGAGGAGGAGGGATGGGTCCAGCAAGTCCTCCTGGAAAAGAGGAGGGATGGGTCCAGCAAGTCCTCCTGGAAAAGAGGAGGAGGGATGGGTCCAGCAAGTCCTCCTGGAAAAGAGGAGGGATGGGTCCAGCAAGTCCTCCTGGAAAAGAGGAGGGATGGGTCCAGCAAGTCCTCCTGGAAAAGAGGAGGGAAGCAAGTCCTCCTGGAAAAGAGGAGGGTTGGGTCCAGCAAGTCCTCCTGGAAAAGAGGAGGGATGGGTCCAGCAAGTCCTCCTGGAAAAGAGGAGGGATGGGTCCAGCAAGTCCTCCTGGAAAAGAGGAGGGATGGGTCCAGCAAGTCCTCCTGGAAAAGAGGAGGGATGGGTCCAGCAAGTCCTCCTGCAAAAGAGGAGGAGGGATGGGTCCAGCAAGTCCTCCTGGAAAAGAGGAGGGGTGGGTCCAGCAAGTCCTCCTGGAAAAGAGGAGGGATGGGTCCAGCAAGTCCTCCTGGAAAAGAGGAGGGATGGGTCCAGCAAGTCCTCCTGGAAAAGAGGAGGGATGGGTCCAGCAAGTCCTCCTGGAAAAGAGGAGGGGTGGGTCCAGCAAGTCCTCCTGGAAAAGAGGAGGAGGGATGGGTCCAGCAAGTCCTCCTGGAAAAGAGGAGGGATGGGTCCAGCAAGTCTTCCTGGAAAAGAGGAGGAGGGAGCAAGTCCTCCTGGGAGGAGGGATGGGTCCAGCAAGTCCTCCCTGAAAAGAGGAGGGATGGGTCCAGCAAGTCCTCCTGGAAAAGAGGAGGGATGGGTCCAGCAAGTCCTCCTGGAAAAGAGGAGGGATGGGTCCAGCAAGTCCTCCTGGAAAAGAGGAGGGGGATGGGTCCAGCAAGTCCTCCTGGAAAAGAGGAATGGGTCCTGGTCCTCCTTGATGGGGGTCCAGCAAGTCCTCCTGGAAAAGAGGAGGGATGGGTCCAGCAAGTCCTCCTGGAAAAGAGGAGGGGGGATGGGTCCAGCAAGTCCTCCTTGAAAAGAGTAGGGATGGGTCCAGCAAGTCCTCCTGGAAAAGAGGAGGGATGGGTCCAGCAAGTCCTCCTGGAGAAGAGGAGGGATGGGTCCAGCAAGTCCTCCTGGAGAAGAGGAGGAGGGATGGGTCCAGCAAGTCCTCCTGGAAAAGAGGAGGGATGGGTCCAGCAAGTCCTCCTGGAGAAGAGGAGGGATGGGTCCAGCAAGTCCTCCTGGAAAAGAGGAGGGATGGATCCAGAAGAGTCCTCCTGGAGAAGGAGAGGAGGGATGGGTCCAGCAAGTCCTCCTGGAAAAGAGGAGGGATGGGTCCAGCAAGTCCTCCTGGAGAAGAGGAGAGATGGGTCCAGCAAGTCCTCCTGGAAAATTACATTAAAACAGTTTGTAACGTCCAGTCAGTCTTTCTCGTGGAAAGTTAAGGAAGAAGATGGGACCAACTAGAACCTTTGGTGGCAAGTTAAAGAGGAAGAGTTGATAAGAGTTTTTTACTGGCCGGAGGTGTCTGGCAACGACACCCACGACCCCACAGGTACGACCAGGCTGTGGTCGTCTGTCCCAGTGTTCAGGGTGCTGGCCAGGACCCCACAGCCACGACCAGGCTGTGGTCGTCTGTCACAGTGTTCAGGATGGTGGCCACGACCCCACAGCCACGACCAGGCTGTGGTCGTCTGTCACAGTGCTCAGGGTGCTGGCCAGGACCCCACAGCCACGACCAGGCTGTGGTAGTCTGTCACAGTGTTCAGGGTGGTGGCCAGGACCCCACAGGTACGACCAGGCTGTGGTCGTCTGTCACAGTGTTCAGGGTGCTGGCCAGGACCCCACAGCCACGACCAGGCTGTGGTCGTCTGTCACAGTGTTCAGGGTGGTGGCCAGGACCCCACAGGTACGACCAGGCTGTGGTCGTCTGTCACAGTGTTCAGGGTGGTGGCCAGGACCCCACAGCCACGACCAGGCTGTGGTCGTCTGTCACAGTGTTCAGGGTGGTGGCCAGGACCCCACAGCCACGACCAGGCTGTGGTCGTCTGTCACAGTGTTCAGGGTGGTGGCCAGGACACCACAGCCACGACCAGGCTGTGGTCGTCTGTCACAGTGTTCAGGGTGGTGGCCAGGACCCCACAGCCACGACCAGGCTGTGGTCGTCTGTCACAGTGTTCAGGGTGGTGGCCAGGACCCCACAGCCACGACCAGGCTGTGGTCGTCTGTCACAGTGTTCAGGGTGGTGGCCAGGACCCCACAGCCACGACCAGGCTGTGGTCGTCCAGTACTGACCGTCATAAAGACCTGTCAGCTCCCATCATCCCGGGGCGACGAGAACACCGCACACAGCACACTGGCCAACATCCGTGCATCCTTCACAACTCTGGACAAAGGAGCTTTCCGGGTCCTATATACAGCGATGGCGAGACCCATTCTTGAATATGCATCCCCCCAGCATGCAGCCCTTACCTGAGAGAGGACAAGGAGACATTAGAAAAGGATTTGCAACGAGACTCGTTCCTGGGTTGAGGGGCTTACATTATGAGGAAAGACTGAGAGAACTGAACTTTGTCACACAGGAGGAAAGGAAAGACAGTGGGAATATGATAACAACCTATAATAATCTAAAGGAAATTGATAAGGTAGACATAACAGCGTTGTTCTGAGCGAGGAGCAGCAGAACGAGCGGCCATAGATGGACACTGGAGACACAAATGACTCACTGGAGCAGTCGGGACGTAGAAGAAGTTGAATCTACTTCGATTCAACATTTTAAATGTAAACACGACAAAAGCGTGAGAACTGAGTCATTGTATTAAACTAAGAATGTTCGGGAGGCGGGGCTCGGAGCCGAGCTCGACCCTGCAAGCACATATACGTAAGTACATCTAGGTGAGTCCACTGTGAGAGACAGTTATAATGGTCTGTTAACTCCTGGTGGTGACCCAGGTCTTGACCAGTGGTGGTGACCCAGGTCTTGACCAGTGGTGGTGACCCAGGTCTTGACCAGTGGTGGTGACCCAGGTCTTGACCAGTGGTGGTGACCCAGGTCTTGACCAGTGGTGGTGACCCAGGTCTTGACCAGTGGTGGTGACCCAGGTCTTGACCACTGGTGGTGACCCAGGTCTTGACCAGTGGTGGTGACCCAGGTCTTGACCACTGGTGGTGACCCAGGTCTTGACCACTGGTGGTGACCCAGGTCTTGACCACTGGTGGTGACCCAGGTCTTGACCACTGGTGGTGACCCAGGTCTTGACCAGTGGTGGTGACCCAGGTCTTGACCAGTGGTGGTGACCCAGGTCTTGACCAGTGGTGGTGACCCAGGTCTTGACCACTGGTGGTGACCCCAAGTCTTGACCAGTGGTGGTGACCCAGGTCTTGACCACTGGTGGTGACCCAGGTCTTGACCACTGGTGGTGACCCCAGGTCTTGACCACTGGTGGTGACCCAGGTCTTGACCAGTGGTGGTGACCCAGGTCTTGACCAGTGGTGGTGACCCAGGTCTTGACCAGTGGTGGTGACCCAGGTCTTGATCAGTGGTGGTGACCCAGGTCTTGACCAGTGGTGGTGACCCAGGTCTTGATCAGTGGTGGTGACCCAGGTCTTGACCAGTGGTGGTGACCCAGGTCTTGACCACTGGTGGTGACCCAGGTCTTGACCACTGGTGGTGACCCAGGTCTTGACCACTGGTGGTGACCCAGGTCTTGACCAGTGGTGGTGACCCAGGTCTTGACCAGTGGTGGTGACCCAGGTCTTGACCAGTGGTGGTGACCCAGGTCTTGACCAGTGGTGGTGACCCAGGTCTTGACCACTGGTGGTGACCCCAAGTCTTGACCAGTGGTGGTGACCCAGGTCTTGACCACTGGTGGTGACCCAGGTCTTGACCAGTGGTGGTGACCCAGGTCTTGACCACTGGTGGTGACCCAGGTCTTGACCAGTGGTGGTGACCCAGGTCTTGACCAGTGGTGGTGACCCAGGTCTTGACCAGTGGTGGTGACCCAGGTCTTGACCACTGGTGGTGACCCAGGTCTTGACCACTGGTGGTGACCCAGGTCTTGACCACTGGTGGTGACCCAGGTCTTGACCACTGGTGGTGACCCAGGTCTTGACCAGTGGTGGTGACCCAGGTCTTGACCAGTGGTGGTGACCCAGGTCTTGACCACTGGTGGTGACCCAGGTCTTGACCAGTGGTGGTGACCCAGGTCTTGACCAGTGGTGGTGACCCAGGTCTTGACCACTGGTGGTGACCCAGGTCTTGACCAGTGGTGGTGACCGAGTGGTCATGACCCTCCAACACAGAGGGGGGGGGGTCGTGACCCTCCAACATAGGGGGGGGGTCGTGACCCTCCAACACAGGGGGTCGTGACCCTCCAACACAGGGGGGTCATGACCCTCCAACACCGGGGGTCGTGACCCTCCAACACAGGGGGTCGTGACCCTCCAACACAGGGGGTCGTGACCCTCCAACACAGGGGATCGTGACCCTCCAACACAGGGGGTCGTGACCCTCCAACACAGGGGGTCGTGACCCTCCAACACAGGGGATCGTGACCCTCCAACACAGGGGGTCGTGACCCTCCAACACAGGGGGGGTCGTGACCCTCCAACACAGGGGGGGTCGTGACCCTCCAACACAGGGGGTCGTGACCCTCCAACACAGGGGGGGGGGTCGTGACCCTCCAACACAAGGGATCGTGACCCTCCAACAAAGGGGGTCGTGACCCTCCAACACAGGGGGTCGTGACCCTCCAACACAGGGGGGGGGGTCGTGACCCTCCAACACAGGGGGTCGTGACCCTCCAACACAGGGGATCGTGACCCTCCAACACAGGGGGTCGTGACCCTCCAACACAGGGGGTCGTGACCCTCCAACACAGGGGGTCGTGACCCTCCAACACAGGGGGGTCATGACCCTCCAACACAGGGGGTCGTGACCCTCCAACACAGGGGGTCGTGACCCTCCAACACAGGGGGTCGTGACCCTCCAACACAGGGGGTCGTGACCCTCCAACACAGGGGGTCGTGACCCTCCAACACAGGGGGATCATGACCCTCCAACACAGGGGGGGTCGTGACCCTCCAACACAGGGAGGGTCGTGACCCTCCAACACAGGGGGGTCATGACCCTCCAACACAGGGGGGGTCGTGACCCTCCAACACAGGGAGGGTCGTGACCCTCCAACACAGGGGGGTCATGACCCTCCAACACAGGGGGTCGTGGCCCTCCAACACAGGGGGGTCATGACCCTCCAACACAGGGGGTCGTGACCCTCCAACTTGGGGGTCGTGGCCCTCCAACACAGGGGGTCATGACCCTCCAACACAGGGGGTCGTGACCCTCCAACACAGGGGGGTCATGACCCTCCAACACAGGGGGTCGTGACCCTCCAACACAGGGGGTCGTGACCCTCCAACACAGGGGGTCGTGACCCTCCAACACAGGGGGTCGTGACCCTCCAACACAGGGGGTCGTGACCCTCCAACACAGGGGGTTGTGACCCTCCAACACAGGGGGTCGTGACCCTCAAACGCAGGGGGGTCGTAACCCTCCAACACAGGGGGGGTCGTGACCCTCCAACACAGGGGGGGGTCGTGACCCTCCAACACAGGGAGGGTCGTGACCCTCCAACACAGGGGGTCGTGGCCCTCCAACACAGGGGGTCGTGACCCCTCCAACACAGGGGGTCGTGGCTCTCCAACACAGGGGGTCGTGACCCCTCCAACACAGGGGGTTGTGGCCCTCCAACACAGGGGGTCGTGGCCCCCCAACACAGGGGGTCGTGGCCCTCCAACACAGGGGGTCGTGGCCCTCCAACACAGGGGCGGTCGTGGCCCTCGAACACAGGGGGGGTCGTGACCCTTGAACACAGGGGGGTCGTGACCCTCCAACACAGGGAGGGGTCGTGGCCCTCCAACACAGGGGGGTCGTGACCCTCCAACACAAGTGGGGGGTCGTGACCCTCCAACACAGGGGGTTGTGGCCCCCCAACACAGGGGGAACGTGACCCTCCAACACAGGGGGGGGGGGCTCGTGGCCCTCCAACACAGGGGGTCGTGGCCCCCCAACTAAGCCTCACCTACTTCCTTATCCGTTCTCTGAATTCCCCTCACTTTCATCTCCTTTTTATCTTTTAAGTCCTTCTTGACCTACGTTAATGCCCTTTCCTCAGCTCCCCCTCCCTTCCCTTTCCCTCAGACCAGCTCCCCTCCCTTCCCTTCCCCTCAGAGCAGCTCCCCCTCCCTTCCCTTCCCCTCAGACCAGCTCCCCCTCCCTTCCCTTCCCCTCAGAGCAGCTCCCCCTCCCTTCCCTTCCCCTCAGACCAGCTCCCCTCCCTTCCCTTCCCCTCAGAGCAGCTCCCCTCCCTTCCCTTCCCCTCAGACCAGCTCCCCCTCCCTTCCCTTCCCCTCAGAGCAGCTCCCCCTCCCTTCCCTTCCCCTCAGACCAGCTCCCCCTCCCTTCCCTT